GGGCATTTCTGTTGCTTCCATATCTTGGCAATTCTAAATAATGCTGCAATGAACATAGGGGCACATATATCTTTTCTAATTAGTGTTTTCATTTTCTTCAGATAAATACCCAGGAGTAGAATTGTTGGATCATATGGTAGTTCTTTTTTAATTTTTTTGAGGAATCTCCATACTGTTTTCCATAGTGGCTGCTCCAATTTACATTCCCACCAACAGTGCACTAGGGTTCCCTTTTCTCCACATCCTCGCCAACACTTGTTATATGTTGTCTTTTTGATTAAAAACCATTCTGACAGGTGTGAGGTGATAGCTCACTGTGGTTTTGATTTGCATTTCCCTGATGATTAGTGACATTGAGCACCTTTTCATGTGCCTGTTGGCCATCTGCATGTCTTCTTTGGAAAAATGTCTATTCAGGTCCTCTGCCCATTTTTTAATTGTATGGGTTTTTTTATGTTGAATTGTACGAGTTCTTTGTGTATTTTGGATATTAACACCTTATTGGATATATAGTTTGCATATAACCTCTCCCATTCAGTAGATGGCCTTTTTGTTTTTTGGGTTTTGTTTTTAATTTTTATTGGAGTATAGTTGATTTACAATGTTGTGTTCGTTTCAGGTGTACAGCAAAGTGGATCAGTTATCCATATACATATATCCTCTCTTTTTTTAGATTCTTTTCCCATATAGTGGTGTTTTTGTTTGTTTGTTTGTTTGTTTGTGGTATGCGGGCCTCTCACTGTTGTGGCCTCTCCCGTTGCAGAGCACAGGCTCCGGACGCGCAGGTTCAGCGGCCATGGCTCACGGGCCCAGCCGCTCCGCGGCATGTGGGATCTTCCCGAACCGGGGCACGAACCCACGTCCCCTGCATCGGCAGGCAGACTCTCAACCACTGCGCAACCAGGGAAGCCCGCGTTTTTGTTTTGTTGATAGTTTCCTTCACTGTGCAAAAGCTTTTTAGTTTGATGTAGTCCCATTTGTTTATTTTTGCTTTTTTTTCCCTTGCCTGAGGAGACATATCCACAAAAAGTATCACTAAGACCCATGTCAAAGAGCATACTGTCTGTTTTCTTCTAGAAGTTTTATGGCTTCAGATCTCACATTTAAGTCTTTAATCCATTTTGAACTTATTTTTGTGCATGATGTGAGAGAGTAGTCCAGTTTGATTCTTTTGTAACTGTCCAGTTTTCCCAACACCCTTTACTGAAGAAGCTGTATTTTCCCCATTGTACACTCTAGCCTTCTTATTTTTGTCTTGTTTAAGTAATTCAATTAATAATCATGTTAGAGAGTATCTGCATGTAGTTTCTATTCTATGTTCTGGTTTATCTAAAAATATCTTTGTCATCCTTGCCCCTAAAGTATAGTTTGGTTAGGTATAAAATTATAGGTTCACAATTATTTTGTTTCAACTTCAAAGACATTATTTTATTTCTTTCCAGCATATGTTGCTGTTTGTGACAATTTGGCTAATCTGCTTGGTGTTCTGTTGAAACTAATTTATGTTTTATTCTCTGGTGGGCTTCAGGATTTTCTCTGTCTTTGATATTATGAAGTTACACTATAAAGGCTCCAAGCGTGAAGCTTAATGGGTCTTTCTGCAGTTCTGAAAATTTTTCAGCTCTTATTTTTTAAAATATCACCTTGCTGTCTTTCACCCCAGTATCTCTATCTTGACATTTGATGGAGCTTCATTTTCTATCTTCCATAAGTCTTAAGTTTTCTTTTATATTTTCTATTTTCATGATTTTCATCCTATTAGATTTATGTTGAAGCTTCTCATTCTATATTCCTTACCTCTTTATTTCTCTCATAATTGCTATTTCTTTCATATTTTCCATCTCTTCAATATTTTCCATGCTATTAGTCATATGGTGAAGTGCTTCATTCTGTCTTCAAATTTTCTTAAGTTCTCATTTACATCTCCTGTGCCTTTAATAATTTTTAGCTCTAATTCCATGGGCTGGATTCTGAAAGACTTAATCAGTTCAGTCTTCTAATTCATTTGTTCTTTTCTCAGCAGTGTCTGGTTGATCATTTATCCATCTACTGAGAAGCTTTGTTTTTAATTCCAATAAATATTTTTATTTTTCACCCAGATGCAGAGAGCTGTGTCAGCAGTGATCCTCATTTGAAAGCAGGTTGCTATCATATGATTTTTACAAGGCCCTTACTTTATTTTCTCCCTTCATTCCTGATCTCAAGTACCGTTCCATTCCCATGGACAATCATTGTGCAATATATAATACACAGAATATAATTTGGGTGCCTTATGATTATGGACAAATAGCCTGCAGCAGAGACTGGCTAGATGCTCTTTAATCTCATTTCCACATCTTGAGCACTTCATTCCCCAGCCCCCTTTGCCGTTAAGTCAAGGTCCTACAACTACTTCTGGTCAATGAAATTTGGGTGGAAGTGGTACAAGGTAAAATTGTAGGCATGTGGAAGGGGGTGTGTGGGGATGCTGGGCTGACAAGATATGGATTACGATGAACACCCGTTGCCTTTGCCTACATGTCTGTCTGCCTGGCATTCAGCCCCCTTCATAAGATGGAATCCCCCCAGTAATGCTTTAGAAGACTACCTGATCGCCACTGTATGCAATCTTGACAAGCCCATCAATCAAAGCATCTTGCATTCACTGGAACAAAGCATGACTGGCTACATAATTTGTGAGACCTCTTGTTCAAAACTTATTAAGAATTTCTATATGGCAACAACAGAGAGTCGAACCAAATGCAGGGCTCTTCTAAGGGCAGGGCTGTATGAGACTTCCCAGGCTGTCCACTGAGGAAAGTGACCCCCAAACGATCAGACTCTCCCTTCCAAAAATGTAAATCTTGACCACAATGACATAGGTTCAGGAAAAACCTGTAACTAATTTCCCCTAGAGGACTCCATTGGTTTCTGCTCCTTACATCCCCAGGGAATTCCTGATGCCTATCTTCTCCAAATCAGATTCACTTGCTTCTCTTCAGTGCTATCAGCGCTATGCCATTTCCTTCCCTTTGGCTTAATTTAACTCTGGTCAATTTCTGACGATTAAAGGAAACAGTGAGTAGTCCCACTTGAGTCCTCTGATCCTTGGCGCTCCACCTGAAAACGAGGAGTAATGGCATACACCTCCAAGGACTCTAGTTATAGTTAGAAAACGACAAACGACTGTGATGTGTACAGTACAATCCCTTGCATACACCAGGAGTTTATTAAATACAAGTGCTCTTTCTTCATCTTCACTCCCTACCAGAAGCAACTAAATGCCCATCTCTCTGCTATTCAGACGGAAGCATTATCCATCTCAGACCTAGGTCGAGAAGTCAAGTGTTTCATATCCGTCAGTTATTATGAGAACTTCTCTTGGGTAGGCCAAGAGAAGTGTTGGCTAGGGCCCCTGCCAAGGAGTAGAAAAGAAAAAGATCCAAGGGTGAGTGTGGTGGATTTGCAAGAAATTCGGTTGCCCCGTAACTAAGCCCGCTCCCTAAGAGCACATCAGATTTCTTTGGGGAAACCAGCTCTTCCTCCATGTGTGTTCTCTGAGAGGGATTCCAGAACAAGCCTCCCACTCTGGAAGCCTAAGGACCAGATTCTAGCTCTCCCTGCCCTGCTCAGCCAATCAGAGCCTGTCTTCCAGGATCTGAATCTTAAATCATCACATCAGAGTGATGTGAGTAGAGAAGTGGGGGGCTTCATTGTAGCTCCAGCACCTTAAGGGGGTAATGGTAGCCTCTTGGCCAGGCTGCCTCAATTGTAAAAATGCATCTGTTCTTCCTGCTTCCTCTGCTTCGCCCTGAGTTGTCTTGGTTTCCACCCATTCCCAAGGCTGGTTGTAGGGCTTCCCATCCATTTCAGGAGCTCCTCCATCCCCCAACAAACACCCCATGATATCTTTTCACCAAAGCTCCCTTTGCTTAGGACGACCAAGTAAGTTTCTATTTCTTGCAAGAAAGACCCCAGATTACTACAGAGAACCAACTCTCTGTCCTCCAGAAGACCCAATCTTGCATAGCCAAGATTATGCGAAGATCCAAAAGGATAAAGTCCAGGAATAGGGAATGGAGCCCAGGATCAGCTGCTGAGCAGAATCAGACCCCAAGTAGGAGGAATCCACGACCCCACCTGGCCCTTTGCAGAGGTGAGCTCACAGCTTCCCACTGGAGTAGATATTAAGATCCCTATTTTTCAGAAAAGGAAACTAGACTTCATGGACTTAGGTGAAATACCAAGAGGTAGGAAAGCTAGAACGTGAACCAAAATCCCTATAAGATGTTCTTATGCCCATTTTGACAGCTGAAGGGCCCATATGTCCACATGAAAGGTAACTCAGACTTATTCAGCAACAGCCAAGTGCCAGGTGCTGCCCTTGGGCAAGTGTTTCTCACGTGTTACGTGATTTAATCCAAATAACTCAAGTTCTGTTTTTCTGTCTTTCCAAGCATTATGATGTTGTTTTTATATTTCCAATCTACTGTTTAAATATGGGAATATATGGTACCAGAGGGTGCCCAGAGTAAGCTCAAATGGTTCTATGCTGTTAGGAAACCATCCTCCAAAGGAAGGCTTGTTGTTGAGTCCATGCATCACATCTTAGGGGCCAACAGTGTAACCTCCATATGGAATACAATATATATCGAAGGACAAGTCATAAAAACATGTGAACTTGAAGCTGAAAGAGATCGTATTCAGACTCACCATAAAATGCAGCAATTGTTTAAAAACTTAGACCCAAAAAAGAACATTTCACGGAGGAGTATTCTATCACTGACATTGTTTGGAATTGTCAATGCATAGTGATAATTAAAAGCAAATTCCAGGGCTTCCCTGGTGGTGCAGTGGTTGAGAGTCCGCCTGCCGATTCAGGGGACGTGGGTTCGTGCCCCAGTCCCGGAAGAGCCCACATGCTGCGGAGCGGCTGGGCCCGTGAGCCATGGCCGCTGAGCCTGCGCTTCCGGAGCCTGTGCTCCGCAATGGGAGAGACCACAACAGTGAGAGGCCCTCGTACTGCAAAGAAAAAAAAAAGCCAACTCCAGTTTGAGTTGGTTTTATTTGTTTGCTGAAACTCCCTGAAGACAATACATCCCCTTCTTGCCTGCTCCCTCAAGCCCTGCCCCAGTACATCATTTCCATTTTACAGATGAAGAAAGTAGGCCTAGGAGAGGCTCAGCATGTGAAGTCACTAGTCCAGAGGGAAGGCAGAATCCAAAGGCAAGTGTGTACGGATGCCAAGCTGGCCTTCTTTCCACTCTGCCCGGCAGCGGGCAGGCCTGAAGGTGCAAAAGCAGAGATTTCTTCCTTCCGACGTGAGATGAACACCCTGCCTCTCCCCACCTCCCACCCTCTCCTTGCTGCCTTTGAGAGGGGTGCTCAGTGGAATCCTCCCAAGAATGCACACTCTTCCTGGAAGGGGGGCATGCTTCAGGAACACAGCCGCCCAAGAGCCGCGTTCGAGTCCCAGGCCCACCTTGGCGTCATTTCGAGGGTCCCCCTGCAGGGGACCTATCTCCCAGGTTGTGCCATGAGGCCACGGATGGGAGAGCAAGTAGTCAGTGGTGGCCCCGCGAGGGTCCGAGGGACCGACCTGTCTCTAACATGAGCGTCCGCATCTGCAACCCGCATCTGCATCCCGCGTCTTGAAGGATTCTCGTGCCTGCCATCTGGAGGGAGAAAGCCGGACCCGGGGCGCCAGGCCAAGAAAAGCGTCGACGCCGGAGCCTCCCGGGAGCCAAGCGGCACCATGTGTCTGAGCATTATCATTTACACTGAGGAAGCGGGTATTTAGAAAACAGGGCTGGTCCCAAGCACGCCATCTGTGGCCAAGCTTTCCCGGCCCACCGCACCATATTGTGGAAGGCACAGGCGGAAGGAAACAGCGGCCGTGGTGCGCAGTGTTTGTTTGGTTTGGGGCTTTTGTTGTTTTTTGTTTTTTGTTTTTCTAACAAATTCAAATGTGGCTTCCTCACTTCGCAAAGCAGGCTGAATGGCCCCGCAAGTCAGAGTCGCTGGAGGGAGAGAAGGATCGAGGCGGCGTGGGACTGTACACTGGCTCGGGAAGGTAAAGAAGCGTCCTGCCCAGCGCACACTGAGGGCTTGGTCCCTGTCGGGCTCTTGGCTAAGGGCGCTATGTACATGTGTAGATATATTTTATGTGTACATCTAATTTCTTTAATCTGCACAACAGCCTTAAGTGCTAGATACTGTTACTTACTCCATTATGTAGACATGGAAAGGAGAGCCCAGAGAGGTTGAGTAACTTGCCCGTGGCCACACAGCTAGAGAAGGTGGAGCCCAAGCTGGGAGTCAGGTTTAATCCGCATCCACCCTGGCCATCCTCTGGGGCCCTTCTATCCTTAAGATACACAGAGCTCTTTTCCAGCCCTTTCTGGCAAATTGCACACCTCACTGGGTCACTCTCTTTCATGTGGTCATGCGGTATTTTGCTTAGGGCACTGATTGAACGTGAAATCATCTTCCTTATGAATTTGTTGTCTTCTGTTGCCACCAGACCATCCGTTCGTTGCAGCCCAGGCTGTGTTCCTCATCGCTGTATTCCCTGTAATGGGGGCGCAGGGCAGGCCACCCCATTACTCCAAGCATCGCTTTCTAGCCCTCATTCCCTATTTCTTCCCTCAGCCTCAGTTTCCCCATATGTAACATGGCCCACTGGTCTCTAAAGCTCTGTCCGGCTCTGACCCCCTCCCAACTCCTCCAGTCCTGCAAGAGCCGTGGGCAAAGGGGTGATGAGAAAGCTGTTCGCTGTTCACTAATACAGGCCCCAAGGTGCCGCCTTCCCCTGCCCCCGACCCCGCCCTGCCCCACACTTGCCAGGCAGCCACCCTTGGGAGGACCCGGCCCATTAAGGCACAATTATCTCACCACTGTTAAGTGGCTGCAGGAGCAACTGGTTTTGGGGAGTGGCAGGCAGGCTCTGCTTCTGGAGCACATGGTAAAATTTGCTGCAATTAGCAGCGAGGGAACACACATTACTACTATTATTATGTTTTTCTGGCACTCTGGCCCTGTTGCGGGCTGTCTCCTTTCTTTAATTTCTTTTTTAAGGAAGGAAAAAAAATGCTCTTTGGGAACTGAAGCAAAATAAAATGCCAAGAATTAAAAATGCAAATTCATCCAAGATGTTTTCTGCCCAAGACAGCAATGGCCACATGGCTCGATAACATTTTAAATGTTAAAAAATGGGTAATTTTCAGTAAAAATCAAATTTGCCAGAGCCCGAGTTTAAACGAATCCCATATAGCACTCGGGCACCCGGCCAATATTCATGAACAACGAGTCCCTTCAGAAGGTTACGTACTATTAAAATGAGGAGAAAACACAAACTTCACATATGCACCGCTGGTCCTTGGGCATCTGCAGAGCACGGGTGGCTGGATCCAGCTCAGGCTTGGCGATTTCTCTCCCTGCTCTTGGTTGCCCCATCTGTAAAATGGACATAAATAAAATCCAACTTTGGGCTGTGAGTAAGAATAGTAAGACTGTTGTAAAACCCCAATGTTTTCTTAATAAGTGTTGAACGAATACCTCACTTAGCGGAAGCTTCTAAGGACGAGGACGGGAAATCTCAGTGGTACTCCTGCCCACCCCCCTGTGACTGCACTGCCCAGCCAGGGGTCTGGCTCCTAATTAATGGTCCGCAAGTGCATTGAGAGAGGTGGAGGCCCTCGTGTGCCCAGTGCCCTGCCCCATGGTTCAGAGATCCCCCGTCTAGCCAGAGGGGTCAGGGCTCAAGACAAAAACGAATGCCTCCCCCACCATCATCCTCCCGTATTTCGTGGCTCAGTTAGTTTCACCCACCGGGCAGGACGTGATTGGGAGAACTGGTCTTACCGCTGGGCACACCTGGGCTCAAATCCCCCTCTGTCTTTTACTGCCCATGGGACCTTGGGTAAGGCAGTAAAGCTCCGCAGGCCTCGGGGTCCCCAACTGTAAAATGGGGACCACAGCGGACCCCACCTGCCAGCGCTGCTGTAAAAATGACTCACAAATCTTTGAACCTCTGCATGGCCCGTGGTAAGTGCGCAGGGCAGGAGGCTGTTCTAGTCTCTGTATTAATGTCAAAGAAGCTGCCACCCTGAGGTCCCTTGATCTAAGACGAATCCTGCATCTGACCAAGATGCTCTCCCTTAGACAGCAAGGTAGGAGGGGGACCAGCCCCCGTTCACTGGGTCCTGGTCAGGACCCAGCTGGAGACACAACAGGAGCCTCTCCATCTGCCTCGGTTCTTCTTTCCCCCAAAGTCAGATTTGCTCCCTCTTCTGTCTGGAACCCGCCACCTATCAGGTCGACTCGCCCAGAGCCAAAACCAGCTCTAACCTTGGCCTTCAAGGTCATACGTGTTGTACCCACCATACCCCTCCCCCTCCCATGACACCCTGCCCTCATCTCCGCCCACCTCCCCACACAGGCCCTCTGCCCCGTTTCCAGCACACCAGTCACCACCCAGGCCTTTGCTCTGCATCTTTTTCCAGAACCCTCTGCCCCAGGTATCCGCAGGACTCACCTGTCACTGCCTCCAGGTCACCTCCTCCAAGAGGTTTCCCCCGCCCACCTGGTTGAGACCGCAGTCGTACCTGCTCACAGCGCTTGTCAACAGTCGCCCTGGAACAACACCTATTTGGGGTCCAGTTCCTTCCTCTCCCGCTGCAGTGTGCGTTGCACGCGGGCAGGGTCTTGGTCACCTAAGTTTCTTTGAAGACCGGGGTTCTCAGGGGAAAACGGAAGTGATCCGCCCCAAGGTGGGGGCTGGAGCCCTCGGGGCGAAGGGACCCACCTCATCTCACAGATGGGGAAATGCAGGCACAGAGAGGGGAAGGGACCTGCAAGGCCACGCGACGAGTCAGAGTCTGCCTCTGTCTTCAGTTTGTTTATGAGCTAGTGCATCAGACAGACAAGGATGCAGGATTCACGGGGTGCAACCACGGGGGAGCTTGATTTTGCCTCCAATCGCCCCTTTAAGATGCATTCGGGGGTAAAGCTCTTCTCCTGTTCCTGGATGGTCCTCAGAAGGCTCATGACTTTGCAGGTCACTCAGGCAATAAACGTGCTGTCGTTGCTTTAAGTCACAAAACACTGTGTCACTTAGGCAATTAAAAGTGTCTTGTCGTCATCAAAACTTCAGATGTGATTGAAAGTTAAATCTGGTCTCCTCCCTGGGCCTGCTGCGCCCTTGCTTCTCTCTCCCCTCTCACTCACGCCCCCCGCCTTGCGGGCTCCTTCTTCCGACCCCTCCCTGCAGGATCCGGCACACGAGAGGAGTGTAGGAGGAAAAGAAATGGAGTGGAAAAGTCTAACCTGCTCAGCACTGTCCTTCGTAAGCTGGCTTGTCACTCTCTCCGCCTGGGACACGTGCAAAGCCAGCTCTTGCCACTTCTTCCTGCAGAGGTCACCCCCCCACCCCCGGCAGTCCCCTCGACCAGCCGGCTGCATCCCTCTGATGCTGGTCACTTCTCTTCCCGGGCCCCGGGAATCCTGGGTGCACCAGCTTCTCCCTGCTGAGTCTGCTTTAGCTGCCCTGGATGTTCTCTGGGGCAGCCCCTGGCCACTCAAGGCTGACCCCCCTGCTGTGTGTACACACACACACACACACACACACACACTGGGTCCGTGGGACACACCAGTGTGTCCTTGGCTCTGGTCTCTGGGAGTGCAGGCCGACGTCACTACAGCAGCTCATCCTGGCTCCTCCCAGAGCTACAGCTAACCAGCTTTCCTTGCCTCAGACAGGAGTCAGACCTTCTCAGAGAAGGTCTCTCCCCAACAAGGTGGTAGGCTATCTGGCCGGTTGGTTGGTTGTTTTCTTGGAATCACCATCATTTAGCAGAGTACCACGTACATAGTAAGCCTGCAATAAGAATCTGTTGGGTTCTCTCACCTCCCTATTGTCTCATTTGATTCTCACAACATCTCAGCGCTCTCAGCACCAGAGGAAGCGATAACTTCCAAGTTACAGATGTGCGGGCGGTGGATCCGGCCAGACCAACCTGAGGTCAAAACCAGAAAGTCCAAGGCAGAGCCAGGCCCTGTGGAGGTCTGACTGTCAAAGGACTCTTACGGCTGACGAATGAGAGGAAACCCTTCATGGCACAGTCAAGGAAAAAATGAGGGAAAATAGCATGTTTCTTCCTTATTACTAATCGTGCGGCCTTTGGGTTTTCTTAGTCTGTATTTTTGGTCCACTGGTTTTACATAAGCGCATTACCCTCACACCACTTTGCAAATTCAGTCAGCTGGCCCTCTGTCCTGTGTCCTCACCACACACCACTACCCTCGCAGCCCGGGTGTCAGTGAGTGAACCCACCTATCCATTGATTACCTCCTGCCACCGGGAGCTCCCTACCGCTGCTGCCAGCTGGAAGCATGCCCCTCGGCACCTGCCTTCCACTCACGTGAAGGCTGAGAGCCTCACAGCCCCTGAGCACCGTGTCCCCTTGGGCTGCAATGTGGGGGTAGTGAACACTCCCACAGACCCTGCAGGAAGGGACACCAGCTCCCCTCCCCCAGGCGACCCCACTGGCTTCAGTGAAGTCCAGTGTCTGCAACTCCGCCAACTAGTTGGATGTCCTTGAGCAAAGCACCAACTCGCATCGTCTTCATGGGAGTAATGAGAGCGCCTCCACAGCATCTCGTGGAGAGAGTGCCAGGGAATAGTTTCGCACGGAACCGCGCATGTGGTGGTGATAACAGCCATCACTTTCTAGGCCTGATCGAGCACCAGATGCTTCTCTAAGGACTGTCCATCCTTCTCTTGCATGGTCCTTGCCATGTTCTTATGTAGACAGCTCTAATGCCACCATCCCTACCTTTCAGAGGAGGAAACTGAGATGCACGGTAACTTGCCCCGGATTTTGGTGAGTGAAGGATCAGGGCTGGTGCTGAGGTCCAGGTTCACAGCCACTGCGCTGCAGACCCAGAAGAAAGAGACCCTGTGTACAGCCACTGTCGTTACCCCTAAGTGTGGTCCGGTGCAGAAGTGGTAGCTGCCGCTATCGCTCTAATATCCTGAGTGGGATTTGTTGATGGTGTTCGGCTCTCTCCCCATGAGTCTTTCTCTGGCATGCTGCCTTGTAAGCTGAGCTTACAAAATCAACCTTAAGAACACTGTTTCCCAAAGTGGAAATGATCAACAAAGACCTCCGGTGATGCGCTGCCTCGGCCCGGTCCCTGCCAAGCGCAGCCACCCAGCTTGCGAGCACACATGCTCACTGTTGCAACTTGCCCTCCAGTTTCCCTCCCGTCTGCCCCGTTAGAGGATCGGAGACTAATCCTGCACCCTTTCTTCTAGCACGCGGGTTCCCAGTGCCGGGGCCGCTCAAGGAGGGGAGAATTCGCTAACGCGAGCTGGTTCCAAGACAAACAGAAAACTCCCGCCTGGCCATCTCCCACGGCCTGTGAAAATGAGCATCCTGTGTGTGTGTAAGTGTGTGCATGTGGGTGTGTGTGCGAATGCAAGTGCGTCTGTGTATGTTGGTATAGGTACATTTGTGAGAGTGGGAGTGTGGCTCAGTGTGCATTATTGTGTGTGTGTGTGTGTGAGTGTGTGCGTGAGAACGTGAGTGGCATGGCGGGGTGTGGTGAAAAATCAGGAAACCAGGCGTGAACCCGGACACCCTGAAGAAATGCTTGTCTGAGTACATTCCCTGGGAAATTCCCTCTCCTCTCTCACTTCTTTCCATCCATTCCCAAATCCCTTGGTGCCAAAAATCCTGAATCCCTCCCAGCTTATTTGTGCTAAAGTAGAATTTTTATTTTTTTTGCAGTACGTGGGCCTCTCACTGCTGCGGCCTCTCCCGTTGCGGAGCAACAGGCTCCGGACGCGCAGGCTCAGCGGCCATGGCTCACGGGCCCAGTCGCTCCACAGCATGTGGGATCTTCCCGGACCGGGGCACGAACCCGTGTCCGCTGCATTGGCAGGCGGACTCTTAACCACTGCGCCACCAGGGAAGCCCGTAAAGTAGAATTTTGAAGGGCAGAGATACAGGAGAATAAATCTCTGCATGAGGTTGAAGACAATGCCCTAGGCCCACCAGCTGAATTGGCCCAGCAAACCCTTTGGGGTCAGTCACATCACTCAGAGCCAGAAGGAGCCCATGCAGTCAAGCTGCCCCATGTTACAGACGAGGACACTGAGGGGGAGAGGAAAAGGAAAGCCCGGCCAGACTGGGGACCCGCCAAGTGCCTTGGCACCTTGCTGTCTTCCTGAATCCTGTGACAGCCCTTTAAGACAAAAGTCTACTGTGCAAAGGAGGAAACCTAGGCCCCAGGAGCGACTTTACTTGCCTTTAAGGTCACAGAGCCGAGAAGTGGCAGATTCGAAGCCTGGTCCTCTGAATGCAGGCCTGTCTGTCCACTGTTCCTCCTGGCCTGGGAGGCCTGGGCCGGGGAAAGGAGAGCCTGCTGACACCCAGGCCACTGCTCTTCTCACTCAGCTTCTAGCAGCTCAAGACGTGACTTCTCCTTCCATGGGTGGCACAGTGGGGTGTTTTGACTGGGGCCTGGGTGTGGCGGGGAGAGGGAATGTTTTTGGTTTGGAGGTTCTTATTGCTGGTTAGCTGTCTGTTCAGATTCACCCTGGGCACTGAAGACTGCCCAAAAGTCTATCGTCATCCCGTCTCCCTCCGAAGGGCCCTTTGGCTGAACGTCCTGGCCAGTGGAAGCCGAGTGGCTGTAGCATGTGGGGAGGCATGTTCCCATGTGCAGCCCTGGGCCCGGCTTCCCAGGACCCAACCTCCCTGGCTGCCCCTCCAGCTCCTATTCCTGGAAAAATCCCCTCCAGGAGGTCCCTGTGCATGGAGCTTGGGGTCCTTTGAAGGACCAGGGACCACTGCAGAGGAGTGGGCCAGGGCTGACCAAAGGGTGCAGGTCCTTCTCTGGGATGGTCCCTGGTCCGCATTCTCCCTTCTCAGGCCCTGCACTGCTCAGGCCTCCCCGCCTCTCTCTCTCCTTCCTTATCCCTTTTCCTCTATCTTAGCATCTCTCCCTCTCTCTCTCTCTCTCTCTCTCTGTGTGTGTGTGTGTGTGTGTATGTCTCCATTCTCACTGTCTGTCTTCTCTCTTCCCTCAGTTTCTCTCTGCCTCAGTCTCTGGCTTCATCTCCATCTGACTCCATCTTTACCTCTCTAGGCCTCTCTTTCCCGTGGTAATCTCTCATTCGCTCCTTTCTTCGTTTCTACGACCACAGGACAGGCTTGAGCTCAAATCCAGGCTCCACCCCTTCCTAGCTATTTGACTGAAGGTGAATCATTTTACCCCTGAGGCCCTCAGTGTCCTAATCTGTAAGATGGAGATAGTAACATCAGTCTCCCTGGATTCTTTTTTTTTTTTTTTTTTCCATATCTCTTCCCGCTTGCATCTCCCTCCCTCCCACCCTCCCTATCCCACCCCTCCAGGCGGTCACAAAGCACCGAGCTGATCTCCCTGTGCTATGCGGCTGCTTCCCACTAGCTATCTACCTTATGTTTGGTAGTGTATATATGTCCATGCCTCTCTCTCGCTTTGTCACAGCTTACCCTTCCCCCTCCCCATAGCCTCAAGTCCATTCTCTAGTAGGTCTGTGTCTTTATTCCTGTTTCACCCCTAGGTTTTTCATGACATTTTTTTTTCTTAAATTCCATATATATGTGTTAGCATACGGTATTTGTCTCTCTTTCTGACTTACTTCACTCTGTATGACAGACTCTAGGTCTATCCACCTCATTACAAATAGCTCAATTTCGTTTCTTTTCATGGCTGAGTAATATTCCATTGTATATATGTGCCACATCTTCTTTATCCATTCATCTGTTGATGGACACTTAGGTTGCTTCCATCTCCTGGCTATTGTAAATAGTGCTGCAGTGAACATTGTGGTACATGACTCTTTTTGAATTATGGTTTTCTCAGGGTATATGTCCAGTAGTGGGATTGCTGGGCCATATGGTAGTTCTATTTGTAGTTTTTTAAGGAACCTCCATACTGTTCTCCACAGTGGCTGTATCAATTCACATTCCCACCAGCAGTGCAAGAGGGTTCCCTTTTCTCCACACCCTCTCCAGCATTTATTGTTTGTAGAGTTTTTGATGATGGCCATTCTGACTGGTGTGAGATGATATCTCATTGTAGTTTTGATTTGCATTTCTCTAATGATTAGTGATGTTGAGCATTCTTTCATGTGTTTGAGGAGGGTTTGAGAGGTAACAGAGGTAAAATACCAAGGAAACAGGTTGCAGTTATGACAGGGTGAGGGGAGGACAACTGCTGAGGGAGGCCCGGAGCTGAAATGAGACAGGTCCTTCCCTTGGCTTGGAGCCCCACATGCTGCCCTCTCGTCTCTGGCTCTGCCTCT